AAAAAAAAAAAAAAAAATCCTAACCCCTTAAGTGATGGTATTAAGAGACGGGGCCTTAGGAGGTGATTAGGCTCCTCCCTCATGAATGGGGTTAGTTCTTGAGGGAGTCAAAGAGGCCCAAGAGAAACCCCTCATCCCCTGCATGATGTGAGGACCCATTGAGAAGCTGCCACTTAGGAAAGTTGGCCCTCACCAGACACCAAATCACCCGGTACCTGCTCTTGGACTTCCAGCCTCCACAACTCTCAGAAATTAATTTCTGTTGTTTAAAGCCAACAAGTTTATGATATTTTGTTATAGCAGCCCGAATGCACTAAGACACACATTTAACCTTTTCTCCACTGACCACATCATGGTACACAGTAGGCATTCAAACACGTATTCATTTGCCTTGAAAGTTAGGCTAGAAGGCTTGGATAGCATATGAGAGATCATGCAAGAAATCTCTTATATAAGATACAAGAGAGATTGTTGGAAATGGATTATTTTGTAACTTAAAAAATTGAAGAAAACAAAAAGGGAGTTGCTATAAATTCCACAGCACAGAGTGGCAGCTACAATAACTACTTTTTATAGAGCTCATGACAGTTTACATATCAAGTGTGCCTTATCCTCCACAAGCCTGTGAGTTGTGACTTGGAGGAGAAACATATTCTTAATCACAGGGCTAATTGGTACTGCTAGGACCTGTATCTTCCAACTCCAAATCCTGTGCTTGGTCAATTTCTTATAATGCCTTAGGAACCCAACTCTTGTTCCAGCACGGATGTGCAGAGTGGGTTCTTGTGGAAAGGAACCGGAGTCTAATATGTTGTTGACGCTGTTGTTATTTATTAATAGAAAGTGAAAACATTGACTAGATCCACAAGAACAGAGTAGAGGATTTGGTTTGCAAAACCATTTAGGAATGTGATGTACTATAACACAGCTTCTGAAATAATCTGTAAAAGCCTGGAAGCAGTTTGCTAACAATCTTTTGTAATTTTTATAAATAATATATCTGCTTTACCGATGCAGCTGTAGAGTTTTCAGCAGGTTGGATTCCCTACTAATAGACCATTCCCAAATATTTGTGGTAGTCTTTTGCTTTAGCACAAAATCTCTCAAGGGCATTTTAAACACTTTCATCTATATCTATGAGGTGCGAAATTATAGTTTATATTTTAAACATTACGGATAGATTCTCATGAAATTGTAAATTTAAAGCACAAAATTAAAAATATTTTCTCAATACTTTAGATCAACAGTCCCCAACCTTTTTGGCACCAGGGACCGGCTTCATGGAAGACAATTTTTCCACGGACCGGGGGTGGAGGGAGATGGTTTCGGGATGATTCAAACACATTACATTTATCGTGCTCTTTATTCCTCTTACTATTACGTTGTAATATATAATGAAATAATTATACAGTTCACCGTAATGCGGAATCTGATGCCACCGCTGATCTGACGGGAGGCGGAGCTCAGGCGGTGATGCGAGTGATGGGGAGCGGCTGTAAACACAGATGAAGCTTCGCTGCCCACCCTCTGCTCACCTCCTGCTGTGCAGCCCTGTTCCCGACAGGCCACGCACCAGGACTAGTCCTCAGCCTCGGGGTTGGGGACCGCCGCTCTAGATGATCATGGCCAAACTGTATTTAGGATGAGCATTTCTCAATTTTCATGTAATTTATGTTAAATGGAGGCATTTATTATAACTGAATATGGAAGTAAGTCTACTTTTAAAAAGACAGCATTCTCTTTAGTCTGTTTTTGAAGTCTTTTTTTTTTTTAAGTCTCTTTTGAGTATTTTTAGTCTCTTTAGTGTTAGACTCTAAGTTAGATGTTTTCAACCTGTCATGGATTTAAGAGCTGAAAGATTTCTCTTTTGTTTTTTTCCAATATTTTAATTGTTTTAGGCTGTATGTTTCTAACTTTAAATATTACTGTTTTGGTCCAGACACATTAATTAAAATGTTATTAATTTGAGTCATAATCATCTAATCCTCTTTTCTTTTTCCTTGGCATTTATTAAAATATGTTTTATTGATTGCTTTGCACTCTGTAAAGCTCCGGCTCATTTTACGTACAATATGGTGTGAATACAACTCAGTTCTCCATGGCATTTACTTTTTTTTTTTAATAGCACTGTGTATTATTGACTCACACCTAATTTATTGCCTGCTGTTTATAACCACAGATCTTCCCCTGGGCACCTTTGCCAGGTCAGCATTCCCCTATTCTCGATTTGTGCGTTTGATTTTTCCTCCCTTAGTGAGCCACATTGCCTGTCTTCACTGAATCTCATTTTATTGATTTCATCCCAGTTCTCCAATTAACAGCAACAAAAATCATAATATATTTTAATCTTCATTTCCAAAACTAAAAATCTACAAAACCAGCATGTATAGTATTGTAGCATATGTAGCTCAAGAAGCCAAGATAGTTACATTACATGAAAAATGCTCATTTTTCTCTCCTACCCTTCAGGAGCAAGCTTTCATGTTCTTCATATAACAATTATATATTTTCACTATACAAATAATTTTGATGAAGAAACAATTTTAAATAAAGTTAAGCAAAAAAAAAAAAAAACAAAAAGACCACTCAAAAAGAAAGTATCTCCCTTCTCTCCCTCCCTCCCTCCCTTCCTCCTTTCCTTCTTTCCTTCCTTCTGTTTATTTCTGCCTACCTCCCTGAAGTGGTAATAAAAATGGACTTATAGTATAGTAATTTTTGCAACCTGTTTTTCACTTCAGAATATATTTGAAAATCTTTCTATGTCAATAAATAGCTCTCCAAAGCATCATTTTAATGATTACTTAAATGCATTATGATACAGCTTTTTGACTTTTTGAAGCACTTTCTAAACAATGACATATTAGATATGTAACATCATCATCATAAGTAGTTGAAAAATGTAAAGATGAAGGTCCAGACCGT